AGATGAGAGGATTAGAATACAGACTCAAAAATCAGAAATAAAGAGCTGGCCGGTTGCTCACTTGGTCGGAGCACAGTGTTATAACACCAAGGTCAAGAGGTGGGATCCCCATACAGGCCAGCTGCAAAAAAAAAAAAAAAAAGAAAGAAAGAAAGAAAAAAATAGATCTCACAATGAAAGAATTAACATATGACAAGTGTAGTAATTTAACTCAATGAGGAAAGAATGATTATTAATAAATGAAACTCACACAACTAGCCACTCATCTAAAAGAGTGCTGTTCAATACAGTAGGCACTGGCTACATGTAGCACAACAGTGGGTTAATTATCACGAGAGTGGGTCTGTTATAAAAGCCAGTTTGGCTCAGTGCGCCCCCTTGCCATGTGATTCCCTGCAGTGCCTTTGGACTTTACAGGGAGTCCCCAGCAACAAGAAGGCCCTCGCCAGATGTGGCCCCTCAACCTTGGATTTACCAGCCTCCAGAACTGTAAGAAATAAATTTATTTTCTTTATATACTACCCAGTCTCGGATATTCAGTTATAGCAAAAGAAAACAGACTAAAACACCTTTATTATTCCATGTGTTATTAAAAAGACAAATGGAAGAAAGATATCATAGCACTGTGTTCACTCTGTTTCCCAATTGCTCTTGAAAAATACTGGGTACTTTACTACTCTGTCAGGGGTCAGCAAACTACTACCCACTATCTGTGTTTGTATGGCCTAAAAGCTAAAAATGGTTTTTACATTTTTAAACGACCGAGGTCTGACGGGAAAATCAAAAGAACAATTTCATGACACATGAAAGTAATATGAAATTCAAATTACAGTCTCCATAAATAAAGTTTTATTGGAACACTACAATGCTCATTCATTTAGTATTGTCTAGTGCTGTTTTCATCCTGCAAAGACATAGCTGGGTATGGGCGGCAAGGTCAAAAAGATGTCCTTTCCAGCTCTTTACAGGAAAGGTTTGCCAATCCCCATTCTATATCATACTACATGCCCTTCGTAATTTGATAGTTTTACCTAGACATTCTCTCCCCTTTCCTTCTATATTTAGCATAAAGTCCCCTTAACAATCTATCAGTCTCCAGGAAAGCACATTCTTCACAGTCCTTCCTTCTGGTAATATCCTAGTCTAATCACATCCCCCATCATCTACAAACTCAAAAGCCAGACAGCAGCGTTAGCAACATCTTAAAAGCTACAAATTAACTAATTAAAACGAGAACCAAATCTCACCATCATCACTTCCCTCCAAAGCCAAGGCTAAAGAGGCTGACCACCCAGTTAGTGGCTTTCAAACTACCTTACCTTAGTAGCACTGAGGTGTTTGTGAACAAGGGCTGCTGCTAAAATCTCTAACGGCCAAACAGCAATGAGGAAAAAAGAGTGAATAAATGTAATTTTCTTAAGTTTAACCTCCCTCAAATTGTTAGCTACCTAAAAAGGAAAACCGAACAAAAAGCAAAGGAACAGTAAAGAAAAAGTAGACGCATTGTAATTAGCATGCGTGATCCTAAATCTTTATACCTCGTACATTTGATCATATTTTCTGCAAGTAAATAGTTTCCGGTTCCCTGGATGAGATGAAATACTGGCCGGTGTTTGTAAATAGCCTCACAACTTATACAGGAACAAGTCAGACCACTTCGCCTCCAAGGAGAGTACATCAAAAGTTGCTCATCTCTTTCAATCACATTCTGCATGCCAAGTGGGGGGCGCAGGGGAAACAATACCTTTTTCTACCAGCAGTGCCATAACCCTCTAACACTAACTCCTCCCATCCCCATCACAGTTTTCCCCAGCACTAACTCCCCTCCAGCTCCGTCATCTCCTCCCCACTCTCATCACACCTCTACCAGCAGACTGCTCCCCAGCCTCATCACCTCAACCGCTTCCTTCAAAATCAAGACCTGCGAAGCTTCCAGCAACAGGAGAGCAAAGCAGGAGGCAACAAAGAAAAAGCCTGGAGTCCCCACACAAGCACCATCTGCTCTCGCGGGGAAACACTCAACTCACAGAACCCAAAGTGGAAAGAACAGGCCTTGGCTCTCACACAGTTAACGTGTTTACTGAGCGAACGGGGCGGTCCGGCCCGCGCGAGCAGCTGAGGCTACAAAACTGAGCAACACAGCCGCGGCACCAGTTCTCCCGGGGCTCCCGCACCAGCGCGGGAGGTAGATAATTACGATAAAGCTTGCCAAGCAGGGGCAGGACAAGGAGCATTTGAAGCCCACCACGGGGAGAACTTACCTGCTCCTTGAATGTTAAAAGGCTAAAACTCAAGCAGTCGGAAGTGACGTTACCGCTGAGACCCGAGGCCCACCACGTAATTGGCCGCCGCCACAACTAGCCACCCTCTCCCCGGACTGGCTCGGTGAGGAAACGTGTGGCTGAAAGTCCACAACCCGCCCTTGCCCCGCCCTCGGCGACTCCCAGCCACACTAGGGACTGGCGGAGCCCGGCCGCAGCCCGGGTCCAAAGCCCGAACACGACAGCCTCGCCGGCATGGTCGCCCGTCCGGTGCCCTGCGGGCAATGGGCTTCAGCGCTCCACCGC